TTCTCATTGTAAGACTATGGATCTGTCTCCTTTCCCCCCCCCCCCCAAGACTTGATAGGTATTTTATCTATTCTTTTCATGACTGGTACCGGTAGTGAGCGATAGTATTTACGAAGAAGACTGGTCTGCTGAATCCGATGTGTCTGAACAGGTAGGGAGGGTTATTCGAGCTGGCGGTCTGACATGGTTCAGAGTAAGGGAGGGTTGCTCGAACCGGCAGTTTTAAATACATATATATATATATATATATATATATTATACATGCTCTAGAAGAAGAAACTATATGCATGAAGCCCAATGTCTGTAAACTGACAAAAAAAAAGACCGCTGACAATGACTTGAAAGTAGATAGACACGGCGCAAGAGTGGGAATGCACAATGTTTGGTATCAGGTTGGCACCATCATCACGTATTATACCGTGTACCATACAGAGAGAGATGCTGACAGATAAAATGTATCACGTTAATTCATGTATACTGCATACAAAAGCAAAAACAACAAAAAAAAAAAGATGCTGATACTCTGAGATATATCATGCTGTCTCAAAAGATGTGTAGAGGTGGAGGGGAATCAAGGATCTAGAGTATCTGAGGGAGAAAAAAAAACATGCGTGAGTCGTAGAGTAGAGAGTAGAGAGAGAGAGAGAGAGAAGAGAGGTTATGTAAGGGTAAAGCATGTGTGAGTCGTGAGAGAGAGAGAGAGAGAGAAGAAGAGTAGTATATGAGGGGTAAGACATGTGAGTCGTAGAGAGAGAAGAGAGAGTATCGAAGAGGAAGAACATGGGCGTCGTAAAGAAGGTAAGATGGGAAAGTAAGACGAAGAGAAAATTGGAAAAAAAAAAATTGGAAAATTGGGGGGGGAAAAACAAATGCCAATCTAGTCATGATGCCAATTGCGTCTGCTAAATAGAAATTTTCTTCTTCTCTTCTTTCGCTCACGGCTTTGCAAAGACAAGGGGTAGATTAGAAAGAGAGGGAGGGAGGGAGAGAGGGTCAAGGAGATGATGTACCAGGGGTACCCTTCGTCTTGTTCGTCGTAGTATGCATAGGACTGGAACGGAGAAAGTACTGGTGAATCTCGGGGGAGAACTCTCCGTCGTCTGGGAGGGCGGCGGTACCGGCGGTGGTGGTGTTGCCGTCCGCGTCGGTGGCGGGGTGCAGGCCTCCGACGTGCGATTCCCGCTCCTTGGGGCCGAGCTCGGACTGGACGCGCTCCCACTCGGCGCGCATGTCGTCGATCCGGGAGCGCCAGTCGGCCTGGGGGTCGTAGTGCCTCCCGACGCCGCGGAGGCGCTCCCAGAGGGAGAGGTGGGAGGGGTGGACGGCGACGCCGTGGTAGTCGTGGTCGCGTCCGGCGCGGATGTAGGTCCAGCGGCGCTCCTGCTCCTTGAGGTCGAGGCCGGTGGTGTCGGGCAGGAAGAGGAAGGTGAGGAGCATGCCGACGAGGCCGAACCAGGGGACGACGTGGAACTTTGTCCGGTCGTCGATGTAGTTGTACAGGATCGAGGCCAGCAGGGCGCCGGCCTTGCCGACGCAGGCCGAGAAGCCGTGGGCGGTGGCGCGGATGGGGGTGGGGAAGACCTCGGCGGCGACGAGGAAGGTGACGCTGTTGGGGCCGAACTGGTTGAAGAAGGAGGAGAGGAAGTACATGGCCTGGAAGGCGTGGACGCCGGCCGGGGAGGTGTAGTGGTCGTAGTCGAAGGCGGGTATGACGAACATGAGGAAGCAGAAGAAGAAGCCGACCTGCATCATGGTGCGGCGGCCGTACAGCTTGTTGTCGATGAGCAGGGCGGCGGCGTAGTAGCCGGCCAGGGAGACGACGATGTTGACCAGGTTCCAGGTCCAGGTCGTCATCAGGCCCGGGCTGTCGGACACGACCTTGATGAACTGCCCCTGGAAGAGCTTGTTGCCGTAGAAGAAGACGTCGTTGCAGAACCAGGCGCCGGCCGTGGCCAGCAGGCGGGGGCCGAAGTAGGTGAAGCAGTAGCGGAGGGCGGTGACGTCGTAGCCGGTCACGTTGGTGCGCGACTTGGCCTCGGCCAGCTGCCGGGACGCGTCCGGCATCCGCCAGGTCCGGTAGTAGACCAGCCAGAGCGTGCCGACGGCCGGGAAGGCGAAGGAGAGCCGGAAGGTGAACTGGGCCGCCAGCTTGGAGAAGGGCGCCTGGCTGGAGCCGGAGTTGAAGATGACGAGCAGGACGATGAGCATGACCTGGTTGACGAACTGGCCCCAGCCCTGCATCAGGAAGGCCATGGTGACGCGGCGGCCGCGATGGAGGCGGTCCTCGCGCGTCGACAGCCGGCCGGCCGCCACCGAGTTCTCGAGCGAGGACGTGGCCGTGATCGGGTACTCGCCGCCGACGCCGACGCTGTAGAAGAAGAGCGACCAGGCGTAGCAGATGACCCAGCCCTCGAGGGTGAGACCCCAGCTGGCCGTCAGCATCAGCAGACCGCCAAGCATGATGAGGGCGTCCTGGATGAGACCCCAGCGACGACCGATGGCATCACCGATGATCTGTCGTCGGGTGTTAGTTTTTCTATCTCCTTTTCCTTCACTCCTCTCTCTCTCCCGCTCTCTCTCAGCACCCAGGGCACACGCAGAGATACGCAGACACACACACACACAAACACGCGCAGCTGTAGCCCGGGAGGGCTTGGGAGGGAGGGAGGGTAGAGCTTACACCGACTAGGACCTGACCAAACATGATTCCGATGATCTCGAGATAGGTGACGGCAGCGACCCAGTTCTTGGAGCAGACGGTGTTGTCGCTCCAGCAGGCGGGCCAGACCAGTGCGAAGAGGGGCTCGAGGTTGCCGATGGAGAAGAGGACGTAGCCCTCGAGACCGAGGCCGGCGCCGGGGATGACGGCGTTGCGGAGGTACCAGCCGACGGGGGAGAGGGGGTCCTTCCTCATCATGGAGCCGACGGTGCCGAGCTCCTGGGCGGCGGCGGCGCGGTCGACCTTTGAGACGAAGCCGAAGCGGCTGAGGAGGGGCAGGTCAGCCCAGTACACGCCCTCTGGAGTGTAAGAGTCGTCGGGGCGGGTGACGTGGCCGAAGATGCGGCGCTCGTGCTGGGTCGTGCCGGCGATGACGCCGTCGTCGCCGTCGTCGCCATCTGCATCGCTGGAGTCGGGTACTGGACCGTGAGGGATGGGAATCTCTCCGGGGATAGGATCGTGATGATGATGATGAGCAGGAGGAGGAGGAGTGACAGGGTCTCCTGCACCTGGTCCGGTTGAATTCTTCTCGTCAAGATCCGACATCTGATCTGTACGTCTTGCCTGTGGGTGTATGCGTGTGTGTGGTAAGGCTGGGAAGTCGGGGACGGGGAGAGAGAGTGGTGTTGATGAGGATGGAAAGGAAATGTGAACGTGTGTATGTGAGTGTGAGTGTGTGATGGGGGGGTGTGGGAGAGAGAGAGAGAGAGAGAGAGAAGGGAAGGGAAATAAATAAGTTGGTTCTTTTCTTCTTCTTCTTCTTCTTTTTTCTTTTTCTTCTTCTTTCTTCTTCTTCTTCTTGTTATTCCTGATTCTTCTTCTTCTTCTTCTTCTTCGTCCCTAGAAAGTTATTTCGTCATGGTTGTCTTGCTGGAAAAGTTGAAAAGAAGGGAAAACAGAGGAAAAGAGGGATAAAGGAGTCTAGACTTGATATATATACAGGAGCTTGTATGGTTTACACGCAAGTCTCTTTTCCTTCTTTCTCTTGGTTAAGGCTTCGCTCCTTTTTTTCTTTCTTTCTTCTCCTCTCCTCGATATGGAGAAGCAGAAGAAACGAGTTCATAATGGGCAAGAATCGGAACCAATGAGACAACTAGAAACAGCCCCGTGGTCGATCAAGTGGCTCTGAGAGGTAGAAGAGGAGAACAAGGTTAAAAAATAACGTGCAAGGGGGTGTGATCGTAAAAGAGTATCCAAGGGGCGGGAGAGGTGAGAAGGGAGGGGGGGGGGTATGTCTTGTCGATTCGGGGTGACCGTGGCCGTATTAGGTGAGCGTTGAGGAAGCACGTACGGGTACGTATACAAATATACGAGTATCATGTACGAGAGAAGGACAGCGAAATATTAGAGGGGGAGAGAGAGAGTGTGTGTGTGTGTACGTGTTGTGTGTACGTACGTGTGTGTGCGTGTGTCAGTCAAGTCTGAGTAATGGGCAGGTGCAGGTGGTACAGCAAAGTGGTAATACAGGAAAGTGGTACAGAGTGGGTAAATTCAACAAGGGTCCTGGGAAAAAAAAGCAGGAGCTCCGGGGGGAGAATATTTAGTAAATAAATACAAATAATCAATATATAGATATGTGAATATGAACAGATAAATGAATATTAAATAAATAAATAATAATAAAGAGGATGGCAACGAGTGGGAGTGTATTAATAAGACTCCTCTAGAGAGAGGAAGTGAGAGTAGAGATTTTTTTTTTCTTTTTTTTTAAAAAAAAAACAGAAGCAGAGACAGGGAAAGAAAAAAAAAAAAAGTTCATGAGAATCGGAAGGAGAGTGCCGATGTAGATGTAAAGATACTTCTGAGCCGTCCATCTCTCAGTACCCGTCTCCGTCATGTTGAGAGCGAATGGCGGTGATGAGAGTGTGGATAGATACGATGAAGTGAGGAGGAGACATGTGACGGTTACATACAGGCCAGAACCCAGAACCGAAAGGATACCGATTCCGATTCGTCGACGGTCCGGGACTTGGGTCCTTTTTTTTTTCTTTTTTTTTTATATTCTAGTATTTTTTAGTATTTTATCTCTCTTTTATGATGCAACATGTTGATGTTGTGAACTAAACTAGTAATAACATGTGCCGTCTGATCCGATATTGTTTTTATGACTGGTACCTTCACAACGGCATGTACGTTTGTACTTTATCGTATCTTTCCTCTCTCTCTCCCTCTCTCTCACTTTCTCTCTCTCTCTCTCTCTCTCTCTTAACTTTTCCTCTCTCTCACAACTTTCTCTCTCTCTCTCTTCTCCATCTTCTTCCCCTCCTCAATCAGTCAGCTATGCTGAACCACGCTACCTGTACCCGGTCCATCATACTCTCGCCTCTCACAGCAGGACGCCCATCTCCTGCAGCGGAAATGACTCGCTCTTCCCCTCCTCCTCGCTTGGGAAGTTGCTCGCGTGAGCAGGAAGACTAGTAGGACGTGCGTAGTCGTGAATCTAAGCCGTATACGGATCTGTAACCTGTAATCTGTACTTCTGTACGAGTACCTATCTATTACCGAATAACCCCCGTTCCGCTGGCTCCTTGGCAGACACATCAGCGGGGTCTTTCTTGACTCTCTCTCTCTGCCTTAGACCCTAGACTCTCTCTACACCTACGAGGTACTGATAATAGTATGGATGATACTCTGCATCGTGACGATACGCATGTTGCTCTCCGTACTTCCGTACTTCATTATCCATGTCGAGCAGAGACTTCCATTTGATCTCCGTCATTCGGCGAGGAGTTAGAATCAATGACAGAGTACGGAGTGCACTTTTTCCTTTCTTTTTCCTTTCTTTCTCTTTTTCTTTCTCTTTCTCTTTCTCTTTCTCTTTCTCTTTCTCTTTTCTTTCCTTTTCCTCCAGCATTCACCGTCCTCAACACATTCATGTCTCACCTATTCTTTCTCTCATGTCTCATTGTTATTTATATATCTCTCTCATACATGTTCACTCATACTTTCATGTATACTCACACATACATGTACACACACACACACACACATATATATATATATATGCTCATACCTCATACATTGTTATTTTTATATATACTCATCGTACATGTATATATGCTCAGTGTTATTTATATACTCATGCATCCTACACACTCAACGGCAATCGTGACACCATCCAACCCTCCAACCCCAAGGTCCAGGCAGATCCTGTCTCAAGTCTCACACATTGTGCATTAACAGCCCCCCCCCCTCTCTCTCTCCAACCCTCTTCGCTTGTTTTTATTCTCCCTATCTTCTCACCTCCTCCCCATCATATACATCACCTCCTTCATCTATCTTGACTCTCCTGATGGCCCGTCTTCAATGTGGGGGTAATCTATTCTGGCTGTTTTCATTTTATTTTTTACTTTGGACTTTGGACTTGTCTTGGAAGATGCATGTACTTGCTTCATCAGAACATGAGACCATCTTGTCGTACATGTATTATTATACGAAATCTGTCCGACGAACCATTCACACGAGATTGGGAGAACTTTGTAAAACTGCAACCTATCGAGAGCTCCAACGATACCATTGTCAAGAGAACAAGTCTTAGATTCATCCTCATCAGGATCAACGTCAAGGGAAGAGACCAAGGAGATAAGAAGATGGAAGATGAAAAAAAAAAAAGACATCAAAACGTGAAACAGAGACAGAAAAGAGTAAAGCAACAATTGATAGATAAAAAACAGGAATAGCGATAGAAAGAAAAAGAGAGAGTAGAAAGGAGAAGTTAAAGAACGGGGACAGAGATAAACGCCTCGCTACCATGACGTGTTATACAAATGAAGTGACAAGAAGAGAAAAAGGAAAAGGAAACAACCCCCCTCCCCACCCCTCCGTCAAAAAAAAAAACCAGAACAAAAAAACATGCACATCATGAATATTCTCCCCCCCGCCCCGGACGAGGTGTGGCATCCACGTCCAAGATCGGTCCCTCGCTGCCGCCCTGCACGTCTGTAGACGGTGGCGTGACCGAGACGGACGCGGAAGCAGGCGCAGACGCGGCACCCAGATTCGACTGCCGTGTCTCGGCCTCGTTATCCGGCGTCGTGGCAACCTGCGTCATGACCTCGGGCGTCGTCGTCGTGCTCTCCGGCCCCACCGTGCTGTCGTGGCTGTTGGCCCGCATCATCTCGATGCCCAGCTTCGAGCTCGGCAGCGCGGGCTTGCCCAGCTTCGGTCCCGTGCTGCGCCGCGGCTGCTTCGTGCGTGCGGCCGTCGACGACGACGACGACGACGACGATGACGGGGTGAGTCCCAGCTCCTCGTCCTCGTCATCCGCCGACTCTGTGCTCTCCGACACCGCCGCCGCCGCCACCGCCACCGCCACCGCTGCTGGCGGTGGTGGTGGTACCGTCAGCTGCCTCTCCGTCGCTTCATCGCGCTTGCCGCTGCCGCTGCCGCTGCCGTTGCTGCCGCTCGTCGTCGGACGTTCGAGCTGCGCCGGCGCCGACTGCTGCACCGTGAGCTGAGGTACCACCCTCCTTATCCCGGAGCCGGACGGGGCCTTGCTCTCAGAGATGCCCAGTCCGGCCATGCCGTCATCCGACGACGTGGACGGTGGCTGCTGCTGCTGCTGCTGTTCCTCCTCGCCCACACTGCTCTTGGCCGGCGGTGGCATGTCCTCCGTCGTGGTGGCCGACTCCGAGTCGCCAAACGTGCTCGACGTGACGGAGTCCTCTCGGCTAGACCCCAGTCTGCCGGCAAATGTCGACGACATCGACGTCGGACTATCATCCGTAACCGTCATCCGACCTCCCGCCCCCCCCCCCCCCCCTCCTCCTCCTCCTCCTCCTGCGGCGCCGGACAGTATCTTGTTGGTACCCGATCCCGCCCGCCGCTGCTGCTTCTGATGCTGGGGCGGCGGGAGCACCATCGAGGCCGAGGGCGACCTCTGCGCCGGCGACTCCGGCATCCAGTGGCACAGCCCGCGCAGCACCTCCGTCAGCTTGGACGAGCTGATGGGCTTCTCGATGAGCGAGTCGAAGTAGTGCGGCGCCTGGAGCTCCTTGAGGTACGCCGTGATGGCCACGATGGGCGTGTGGGAGTTGGCATTCTTGGTCTCGCGGATCATGCGCGCCACGTCGGCCCCGTTGATCTGCGGCAGCTTGTACTCGAGGAAGATGGCGTCAAACTTGATGACGCTCATCGAGTACCGCACCGCCTCGGAGCCCGTCGGCACCGAGATGGTACGGCACCGCAGCTTCTCCAGCAGCTTCTCCATCACCATCCGCGCCACCGGGTGGTCCTCGCAGATGAGCACGTCCAGCGGCCGGAACGCGGGCCCGCCGCCGCCCTCGAAGGCTGCCTGAGACAGCCGTCGGGAGCTCTGCCGCCGCCTCTGCACGCGCAGGAGCGCGTTGTGCTTGTCGCCCTCGTTGTCCGACGACGACGGCGACATGTCGAACACCTGGCTCTTGCGGCTGCGGTGCCGGTACAGTGCGTCCGCCGCCACCGGGCTGCCCTCCTGGGACCCCACCGTCAGCGATCGGGACCGGCTGGTGGACGAAGGGGCGCTGCTCTGCTTGGGCGTCGCCACCGCCGGCCCCGGCCCCGGCCCCGCCGCCGTCTTCTGCGGCGATATCGACAGCGGTGGTGGCGGCGCGCCTGTCCGTCCCTTGGCCGGCGACACCGCAGCCGACGTGACCGCCTTCTGCAGGCTCGCCGGCACCTTGGCTATCTCCACGCCCGACCCGGACGGCGGCTGGAGCGACGGCGGACCCGACTGGTGCGACAGGTTGGACGAGTTGCTCGACGCCTTGCGGCGGCCCTCGGTCCCCTGGCCCGCCACGAACGACACCATGAGCGGCGACGACGGCTGCGACGCCCGGCTGGGCGACGAGTTGGCGTGGCTGTAGCCCGAGGGCGACTGCGGCCGGTGGCTCGCCTTGGCGTTCGACAGCGTCCGCTGCACCGGATTGGCCAGTACGGGGCTGCCGTCGAGCGACCCACCCGACTGCGAGTTGCTCGTGGCCTGGCCGCCCGCGCTGCCCGACGAGCCCTTGCTCTGCGCCGCGAGCGCCTCGGCCTTGAGCTTCTGGATCTGCTCCTTGTTGGCCTTCTCCAGGACCGAGAGGTTCTTGAAGGCGAACGTTCCAAAGTCGTCGTTGGCCAGGGGCTCGCTCAGCCTCCTAGACTTGGAGTCGCGCACGTGCGGCGGTATGTGCAGTGGCATCAGCTTGCGGTGCATCGAGTTGACCTGGGACCGCGCGCGCCCGAGGGCGTCGTGCGGCCTCTCCTGGTACTCCGCGCCCCCCGCCGACGACTGCGGGGACGATGCGTCCTCCATGTCCTCGGTGAACGGCTGCAGGACGGCGCCTCGGGGGTCGAAGTACTCGGTGTCCTCCGGGTCCTCCAGCTGCGGCACGAATTGGGCCTCGGCCTCGAGCAGCGTGTCCCAGTCGAGCCCCTCGAAGAAGGCGTGGCTGCGGATCTCCTCGCCGCCGGACGAGAACCTCTCCTCGCGGTTGGATCCGAGACGCGCCGGCGGGTCCGGCCACAGGAGCCTGTTGACCAGGTCCTTGGCCTCGTCGGAGATGGGCGCGTCCGGGTCCTCGGGCGGCCACTGGATCTTGCGGGCCAGTATGTTCTCGAAGACGGCCTCCGCCTCGTCGGCGTAGAAGGGCGGGACGCCGTAGAGGAACTCGAAGAGGATGCACCCCACCGACCACCAGTCGCTCGTCTCGTCCTGCTTGTCGCCGTTGATCGTCTCGGGCGCCAGGTAGTCGGGCGTGCCGACGAATCGCCTGTTCGTGTCCTCGGGGTCGAATAGGGCCATGGCCGGCGGCATCATGCCGCTCGGCTGGTGGAAGCTGCCGCGGGCCTGGGCATCGACGCTGGAGTGGGCGCCCGTGGTGTGCAGCGGATGCAGCGACGTCAGCTCCGGCGAGCCGGAGATGAAGCCGTCCTCCTCGCCTAGGATCCTGGCCGAGACCGATCCGGACCCGGGCTCCGAGTCGCTCAGCGTAAAGGTCGAGAACATGTGCGCCAGGGTCTCGCTGCCCCCGCTGTCGCTGCGGTGGCTGCTGGATACCCGGCGATGCTCGCCGTGCGGCGCGCCGAGACTGAAGTAGGATGGCTGGCCCGGACCGGCCGGCTCCGGCACCATCAGGGGCGTGTTTCCCGGCGACTGGACGCCGCCGTGGCCGTGGAGATCCAGGGACGTGGACCTCGACGAGGCCATCGAGGCCGAGCGCGCAAAGGGCCCCTGCTTGAGCAGGTCCGGCGTCGTGTCGGCGGTGCTGCTGTTGAGGGCGCGCTTCTGGCGGCCGACGAGGCCCATGCGGGAGAGTCCGAAGTCGGTCAGCTTCAGGTGGCCCTTCTGGTCGATGAGCAGGTTGTCCGGCTTGAGGTCGCGGTGGATGATGCCCCTGCTGTGCAGGTGTTCGACGCCGAGGATGACCTCGGCGATGTACTTCTTGACCCAGTCCTCGGGGAGGCCGCCCAGGACCTTGATGAGGGACGCGCAGTCGCCGCCGTTGAGGTACTCCATGACCAGGTACAGGTAGTCCTTGCTGGAGAAGGTCCAGTACAGCTTGGCGACGAACTCGCTCTGGCCCTGCCACATGAGGATGGCCCGCTCGGCCTTGACGTTGCCGACCTGGTTCTTGGCCACCATGTCGGCCTTCTTGAGCACCTTGATGGCGAAGTACTCGCCCGTAGACTTCTTCTTGGACAGGTAGACGCTGCCAAAGGCACCCTTGCTGATGGGCTTGATGATCTCAAAGTCCTTGATCGACGGCTGCGTCGGCCGGGGCTGCGGCGGCGCCTGGTTGGCGTTGAGCCGCGGCGAGGGCGGAGGCTTCATGACGAAGTCCGAGATGGCGGCCGACGACTGCCTGCGGTGGTGCCGAGAAGCGTGGTTGACGGGAGAGCTGAATTCGCTTCCCGGCAGCATGGGCGAGCCCTCGGGGGACGCAATCGTCAATCCTTCCTGGGAGCCGGGCACGCCTCGCGGCTTGACCCGCAGCGGCGACGGCGGGGCTCCGGGCCGCGAGGGCGACTCCTGGCGGCGTGGTGACGAGGTTCCCGGGAGCACCAGGCTGCGTCTGTGGTGCTTCCTGGAGCTTGCCGCCCGTCTGAGGCCACCGAAATCGGATATGGGCGACTCTGTCCTGGGGGCGGCCGGTGCCGGCGCCCTCGAAGCAAACGACGAGGACGGCAGGCTCCCTTCGCTCTCGACAGTCTCGCTCTCGGAGAGGGCGCTGCCCTCCCTCGCTACGTCTCGAGGGTTGGTGCCGGTGTTGGAGCTGCCGGTGGTGAATCGGGGCGTGGGGCACTCCTTGGGGCTGCTCGAGCGCGTAGACGCCACGTACGACCTCGGCCGCGGTCCACGCGACGGGCCGCGGGAGCCGGAGGAGGAGAGATCGGCCTGTCGGAGGGCCGTGGCCAGAGCAGACGGGTTGTCGCTAGACTTTTCGGGGGCCCCGTCACCCTTCCGGCCGCGGAGCTCTTCGGCCTCTTCCGCGCGGCCAGCCTGGCTGTGCGTGTCGTCAACAGATTCCGGGACCCGCTCACCGCCGCTCAGGATCCCCTCGTCGGTTTCGTCCGGACCCTGCATCTCGCCGTCGCTGGAGTCGCTATATCGGCCAGCGGCGATGCGGGCCGCCTCGCGCATGGCCTCGTCGATGCAGTCCTGCACCATGACGGCGAGCTCGATACGGATCCGCTCGGCGTACTCGATGATCTTGCGGTGCCTGAACACGGCATCCACCTTGGCTCTGGCGACCTTCTCCGTATCGGCACAGAGCTGGACCAGCCCCTGCTCCTGGTCCAACGTGTTGGTGCTCGGCGACTGCCACTGGAGGACCTGGGAGATGCGCGACTCGGACTGGGGCGACTGGGTGCGGAGGTCGCCGTCTTCCAGCTGGGTGTTGCTGTCCTTGAGCGACGGGGTGCTGATCTCCATCGACGTGTCGCAGAGGTCCATGAGGAGTTCGACGATCCGGGCCTGTGGACGGCGCACGGCGAAGGAGCGTGTCCTGCCGTGCCCAAAGCCACCGGAGCGGTCCCTCGATCGGGCCATCGAGGTTCCCGGCGAAGACTGGGTCGACGGTGGCGGGCCGATGGGCATGCCCTTGTACTCGGCCACGGGAGGCACCTGCGGCTGCTCGCCGGACAAGGGGCGGCTCTGGCGGGCTTCCAGGGCGTCGAGGACCTTGACGATGGCGTGGCGGTGCTCCGACAGGTTCTCCTGGGCCATCTGCACGTCCATCTCGGCGCGGTGTTCCTGGAGACAGAGGTCGGTGTGCTTCTCGAACCACCAGGGCTGGATCTGGCGCTCGCAGATGCGGCAGAGGACGGGCGGGGGTGGGCAGACGTTGTCTTCGCCGTCGTCGTTACCTCTGCCGCCATTCTCGGTGAGCTGGTTGAGAAAGCTGGCGAGGACTTCGGCGCCGGAGCCAAGGGAGTCGACGATGACGTTGGGGAGGTCGATCTGGATCTCGTTCGGTGCCGTCCAGGGGCGAATCATCCACATCGTCTGCGTCTACCTGTTAGCCATACGCATACCTCGACCATTTCCGCATGTGCACGCCACACGGCCTGGGCTGACCACTCACATGGCTCTCGCCTCCCGAGGCACTGTCGTACACCATGATGCCTTGGGCCTCGAGGTCGGCAACCTGAGGTTCAGGCTCGGACTGAGACTCCAGCTCCTGCACATCCGCGTTCTCGATGTCGGAGGAGCGGAGCTTGGACAGAGGGCCGAGCTGGACGGCGAATCGGACCCTGTGGCTCCTGGAGTCGTCCCTCTTCATGGAGTCGACGACGTCGGCGAAGATGGTCTTGCAATCGCTGACGACGAGGTCGGACATGGGGAGGCCCTCGACATCCTCGAGGCGGGTACCTATAACGTCGGACCAGGACGGGCTGGCCCAGCGGATGGTGCCATCGAGATTGAGATCCACAATCGCGTTCAGGGTCGACTCGGCGGCTTCGCGTAGCTCCTCACGCTCGTCACGGATGTCCTGGCTCAAAGAGCGCTCCATAGGTCCCCCCTGCTCGGCCCTGAGCGAGGACACGGCCAGTGGGACCAAGGTGGACGGTACCTGATCGGCCATGATGGTCGTCGTCGGCCGTGAACAAGTTCACGGAGAGCTATCGATTTGATATGCGAGGGGAGGAGGGGGCGGAGGGCCAGGGTGTGGCCACACCGGCGGAGCGTGGTTGGAATTCGCCCTCGGGAGGGGGGGGGTGGGCGAGCAGTCGAGAAGAGAGTATCAAGACTCGAATGGTGATTTCGGTGGCGGTGGTCTGGCCCGGAGAAGACTACTAGAAACCCGCGAGGTTCGGATACATGACTGAGTATGATGGTGATGGCCGTGGTATCGACGCGTTCCCGGCAGCGGCCGGTGATTGAAGGGGGTGGGGGGGGGAGAAGATGGACGACGTGAAGCAGCGGTCGTGTGTGCGTGTATGTGCGTGCAGCAGCTGCTGTGGGGAACGCAAGTTCGAAGTACTTTTTATTTTTTTTTTTTTTTTAGCCGTGACCCGAAGTGTGGGTTTCGTATTGCAGTGAATTCAAATGGTTGATCTTGCAGGAAAACAAAGCAAACGAACAAAAATAAAATTAGGCTGTATGTGCTGTACAAGAGACGCTGGAGAGAGAGAGGGGGAGGGACAAGGAGAGAGTTCAAGGTCGGGAACGGTTCTCCTCTCACCTTGGGAGTTGTCTGTTTCTCGTCAACGGCTGCTGAGAGGTACGGGATGGGCAGTCACTGTAGCCAAGGGCAACGGATATCCATATGGAGGGTTGTGCTGTCGACAAGGACTCCCTCTCCTTCTCTCTTTTCTTCTTAGCTGTTTTTTATTTCCCCGGGGGGGGAAGGGGGGGGGGGRGGATGTTAAGGATGCGATGGGCCTCTCTATTGCTTCCAACAGGGGAACAAGGTTGGAGGATCAGCAGAGCCCTCTGGAAAGGCGCATTGTCTGCTACTGGTCTGCTTCTGCTCGGTCCCCTTGTGTGTCTCTGTGCGTGTGAGCCGATGGACTGACGGCCCACGAGTCGTGGCACAGTATGATACAGTGTGCGTGAGAAGTCGCTACGAGCACCAGCAGTCAGTCCCAGGCCGGGGCTCTGAGCCTGGATGGAGTTCACCGGCCACGCTGTACGAGAGTGAGTATCGTTACCTGCGTTACCTGCAGTCCTCTCTGTGCACGGGTAGAGCCAGCAACTTCCATGGATGGATCAGAGCCCGCCCGGGCCCGTCCATAGGCGGTCACAGAGCAAGTCACACGCAGTAGAAAAATTTTAGATATATAAAAGAACCCCCGTAAAAAGACAAAGCACCCAAAGCTCGGCGGAGCCAAAACAGTGACAGTGTGGAGGGCCCCCCAGCCAAGCTAGCAGTTCTTGGTCCTTGGAAGGGTGAGATGAGGGAGATGAAGCGGATAAAATTGACCATTCGCCAATCAGATGCTCTCATTGTCAAGCATTTAACACCGACGGCTTGACGGCTTCTGACATGCATGTCGCCTTGTCATACAATGTACTCGTAGCGTAGGTAGCCCCCTCCCTCTCTCTCCCTCCCTCTCTCCTTCCCTCCCTCTCTCCTACCCTCCCTCCCTCCTTCCCTCCCTCCCTCCCTCCTCCTCACTGCTCTCTTTAGGTCTTGTCTTCCCTCCTTCATTCTTCTTCCTCTTCTTTGTATCTTCAATGCCAAACTCATTGGCTGCATCTCTTCCCGCCCCATACTGTCGGCCAGAGTTGAAAGTCAGTCGTGCATGTACGGAGTTAGCTCTGACCCTGAGAGCTATATTTGTGTCTTTTTCGTTTCCTCCCTCTAATTATTTGTGGCATGTCGAGAATGAATATCCTGGCAACATTCCGCTCCCATCAGCGGGCGTCTTCTTTTTTTTTTTATCTCTTCGGGGGGGGGTTGGAAAAAAAAATTAAATAAATAAATAAAAATAAAAAGATGATAATAATGGTAAATCTTCCTGCTCCTTCTTTCACTCATTCTGTCTTCTTTATTTTAACTATTATCTGTACAGATAGTATTATGAAGTACGGAGTTTATCCTCCCTCCACGCATGGTAAGAACCATGAATGGCCCAAGATGATTGGGACTTGCCTGCATAGTGGCCCATCCCACCCACCACCCATCTAATTGCCTGTGCCTCGTGTCCTCCTCTGTCCTCCTCTTCCTTTCCGTGCTCTCTTTGTCGTTCCTGTTCATGTTCTCGACTTCGACCTGCAGGATTACCACCCTCATGACGTGTTCCATGTCTGTAACCCGCCTGCCGCACATGGCAGAGAGAATGACGAGTGTGTGCAAACAGTAGTCCCTCCACCCCCTCCTCCCCCTTCCCCTCCTCACTGCTCCTCCCGCTCCTCACTCCTCCTCCCCCTCCCTCCTCCTCCTACTTGCATACTCGTACAGTACATACCTACAGGTGGGTGGAGGGATTGACAAAGAAATGAGGGAGAGGGGGGGGGGGGTCAACGCATGCATAGGCAGAGACGCTGACTGAGGTATCCAAACGCCTATTGCACACCTGACATGCTACACGTCGATTATATTGTCATCTCAAGTCGAGACGAGCCATGTAATAGTGCTACCCGTGACAGGTTATACAGTATTTACATCATCGAGTCGTCCGTCTACATCTACTCAGGCAAACTGCTACCGTCACTGACTAATCCTCCAAGTTACGTACAAGTACCATACCATAACTGGCTAATCGTACCCATCCCGACGTCGCCCGTCAAGTGTTTCGCACGACCCTTCCTGCACGCTCGTCCATCATCGGACACCGATTGGCCATGAAGGAATTGTCGAAACTGTAGTGGAGACCTCTCTCACCCACAGGCTTACACGTTAAGCCGATCAGAGCCATTGGGTCCCATCGGGAGGGACGGCGAGGTCGGAAGGCCGTCGTGGGACTCGTAATACGTGTACGTATGGGGCCCAAGAAAGTCGAGTCAGAAGATGGCCTTGTGCAGCGTACGACGTAATATTCGGCAGATGATATCGAAAGAGGGAGCAACAGTCGAGGGAGGCGTCGATCAGTCTCTGGACAGTTGACGGGCAAGCATCTGATAAATCGTGCCATTGACGACAGGCTGATCCGGACACTCTCACCGGTCATGAGGCGTGCTCGTCAACCTGTCCTGTACACTCTCCTGACAAACCCCGTGGGCATACGCAGGGGACTGGACTCTCGTACGAGTGGTGCGACTCGACTCTCATCTCGCGTGCACTCGACAGCGTCCAACCGACCCGGCCATTCTCAGAGGCTGCACCATATGGAGCGATGCCGGTGAGAAGAATGATGTCGACTGGCCTGCTGCTCGTAACCAGTGCGACATGCCTGGATTCCTCTCAAGCCAGACAAGAGAGAGGAAAATCGCCCATGTGGCCGATGGATTCGTATACACATGTACGAGAGCACTCTGGTTAACAGTACTCCGTACTCTCTCTTCTCTTTAACCTTGCCGCATACGGCCCGGTGGTGAGTAGAATGATTGAGAGCGACCCTTCTTCCTAGCTTACAGAACTGATATCTCATCTTCGTATCATGTCTGAGTGAGGCACTGATATGGTATCCATTGATTCGTTCACGCTATTGATCATGGTGCCA